GTCTTTTGGTTGGGATGTTCGCCCATATGCAGTCCTTAATGGGCGGTTTAGGGTTTAGGGTTTAGGGTTTAGGGTTTAGGGTAAAGTACCCCCCCCCCCCCTTTTGTAATCCTGAATCAGGACTGTTAGTATTAGGGGGCACATCCGGGACTCTCTCTACTAAAATTATGCCTGCTAAATTCGCGGGTAGTTGCTCTTTAACTGTAGGTAAATTGAGTCCCAGGTAAACCCGAAGCAACCCCAAAACCTAAAGCCTAAACCCTAAAGCCTAAACCCTAAACCCTAAACCCTAAACCCTAAACCCTAAACCCTAAACCCTAAACCCTAAACCCTAAACCCTAAACCCTAAACCCTAAACCCTAAACCCTAAACCCCAGACCTGTTGCCCTCAAGCCTGGCAGCCAGGCATCGGCAGCGCAAGATCGGGAGGCCGCCCCGCGCTCGCTTCGCTTCGGAATCCGGGTTTAAGGTTTTTATTGGGGGTTATAGGATTCAAGCTTAAGGGTTTAGGGTTTAAAGTTTTTGTTTTTTCTGGGTTGGGGTTATAGGATTTAGGTTTCAGGGTTCTGCTGCAGGGTTGGAAGCTTGAGCCTTTTTGTTGGAAGGGGGGGGGGGATGTTTTTTTTTTTTGGGGGGGGGGGGGGGGCTGGGCCGAAAATCTGTCCTGCCTTGGTTTTGTTTTCCAGAAGAGGCCTGCGAATGTCCCAGGGCCCTTAGGCCCTTAGGGTTTAGGGCCTCGAAAAGGCGTGGCAGCTCATCATCCCCTTGACCCCAGAGCCATCGCCAAACCTTGAACCTCTTGGTAGCCCACATGGTGCCCTTTTCTCACTTTTTTCGTTTCCTTAGAAAGTTACCCACCCCCCCCCCCCCCCCCCCCCCCCCCCCAAAAAAAAAAATAAAAAAAATAATAATAAATGAAAATAAAAGAGTACCCTTATCGCAAGATGGCTACTAGGCTACTAAGACTTTGAGCAGCCCTAACGCACACCCAACCAGGCCATGTGGCAGGCTACACAGATACGCAGTTGTTGGACCCTCTTGGAAGGTGACGCTTCCTGACCTCCCTAAACGGCCCTAAACCCTAAACCCAGAACCATCTCCACGTAGGGTTTAGGCTTTAGGCTTTCGGCTGTACTGTTCAGGGTTTCGGGCTATTGGGTGTAGCACCTAGATTGTAGGATTTTAGTGCTCATGGTTCCCATGCTTCCACGTCGAGGCAGAACCGACCCAACAATTCTCCTGCCAAGAGTCTTTCGCGGAAGCCCGCAGCCCTGCCACCCTAACCCTAACTAAGTGGACCTCCAACCCTAAGCCCGTCGGAAGCCCGGAGCCCTAAACCCTTAACTCTACATACCCCTACCTTACCTTACCTGCTAGCCCCCGGAAGCCCTGGAGCCCTAAACCCTAAACCCTAAACCCTAAACCCTAAACCCTAAACCCTAAACCCTAAACCCTAAACCCTAAACCCTAAACCCTAAACCCTACTTGAGCCCTGGAATCTGCGAGGCGGCCGCGGGCGTGCTCGACTTTTGGTTCACCGAGCTGACGACGGACGACTGGCCCCGCCCCTATGGAGTTTAGGGTTTAGGGTTTAGGGTTTAGGGATTAGGGTTTAGGGTTTAGGGTTTAGGGTTTAGGGTTTAGGGTCTCGGAGGGATCCGGGGAGTTTGTTTCAGGTCTTGTAAGTGGAAGGAGGGTTCAGGGTTTAGGGTTTAGGGCCTAGGGTTGGGGTTAGGGGTTTACGGGTTTAGGGTTTAGGGTTGGGTCCCGAAGTGGGCAAGGGGGGATTACATGCCCATGTACTGCCATGCATATGGCGAAGGCCTCAACGCCTTGAAGTGCATAAAGGTTAAGGATTAGGGTTTAAGACCTTTTGAGTCTACCTGCTTCTCGGGTTTGAGCAGAAGAAGTCAAGGTCCCCGAAGCTCAGCAACTCAACCCCCACGACACCTCCCTAAACCCTAAACCCTAAACCCTAAACCCTAAACCCCAAACCCCAAACCCCAAACCCTAAACCCTAAACCCTAAACCCCAAGCACCTCCCAGGTTCCGCCAGAGCCACATCCTGGACGATCGCATCCGCAAAGATTTCGGGGCGGGGCCGGCGTGTTGTTTTTTTTTTGGTTTTGTTTCGGGTTTAGGGTTTAGGGTTTAGGGTTTAGGGTTTAGGGTTTAGGGTTTAGGGTTTAGGGTTTAGGGTTTAGGGTTTAGGGTTTAGGGTTTAGGGTTTAGGGTTTAGGGTTTAGGGTTTAGGGTTTAGGGTTTAGGAGGAGCCCCAACCCAAACCCCTGGCACCCCTAAATAACCCTAAACCCCGAAACCCAAAAACCCCCTTCTATGGGGGAGCCGAGAGAGAATATTAGGGAACCGTGGGCCGCCTCAGTTTGGACTATTTTTCACTAGGCAGGCCCTTGGGATAGTGTATATTTTCCCTTATTGGTTGGGACGTTCCCCCTTATACGAACAGTCCTTTTCGGGGCCATCCGAGCCTGAAGGTCCAACTTTTAGGTCGTGTCTGGATCTTCGGCGGGACGTGATTTTAACATAAGGATGATGTGTAGGTGTTTGACCCTGAAAGTAGAGAACCCTAAACCGCAAACCCTACAAGGCCTACTCGCTATGCGCTTGGGGAGCACTACGGTGTATGGGCCTGACTAAACCCTAAACCCTGAACCCCAAACCCTAAACCCTAAACCCTAAACCCTAAACCGTCTAGAATTCAGAGTGCGGGCCAGGTTCCTTATAAACCCTATAACTTGGGATGTTCCCCCTTATACTAACAGTCCCTCATAGGGAATATAGTGCCCGCCATTATAATCCTATTAAGGACTGGTAGTAGTAGAAGGACCAACCTATAACGCTAAACCCGCTATTAAAATGAAGCCAAGAAAGGGAACCCTCTTGAGCTCCTGGACCTGGCAGTCCAAAAAAGGGAACCCTCTTGAGCTCCTGGGACCTGGCAGTGGGAGCTCGTTGGCAGGCTCTGCACTCTCGTGCGGCTGCTGGCGAGTTGGCTGGCTGGGCCCATCATGCGGTGCTGACCTCAGGCGGTCAAAGGTATCGGGCTTTTGGCGTTGAGGTATTGCAGGGCTTAGGGTTTCTGGGTTCTGTTTTAGGGGTTTCCTCTGCATTCTTTGGAAAAGAGCATCTGCTTGGCGAGAGATGAGGGCGGTGCGTGACCAACGCCATCAGGAGACCTGCCTGGCCCTCGTGGTCATCCTCGACCAGTTCTCCAGAAGTCTGCTGGGTCCTTACACTTGAGTGAAGGGGCTTTTTACCGTAAACCCTAAACCCCAAACCCTACACTCTAAACCCTAAACCCTAGTCCAGTGAACCCTAAGGTTGTTCTAAAGGTCCTTCATAGAGATGATACATTGGCATGCGAGTTTCCAAAACCAGGGAAGCCCTGCTAGAAAGGGAACCTACCTTAGGTGATTTTGGGTCGGGTATTTTGAACAACCACCTTAAGAACCTCCAAACCTACCTTTTTTTGTAGTTGGGCTTTGGGATTTGGCACCAAAGAATCTTATGAGGGGTATTGTTATCATAACCTAGAAAGGTTAGTTTTGAGTTGAACCCTAAGCCCTAAACTTTGAGGTACCGAAACACACCAGCAGCCTATGCCTGCGATGCCGCCGCGCGCGTGGCGGCCAATGCAGCTCTGGCCAGGGGAGACGACAAGCATCCTGGCAGACAAGCCCGCAAAACCCTGAGGTTTAGGGTTTCTGGGTTTAGGGTTTAGGGTTTAGGGTTTTGGGTTTCTGGTGTAGGGTTTAGGGTTTAGGGTTTCTGGGTTTAGGGTTTAGGGTTTCTGGGTCTTGAGGAAGTTTTCGAACAGCTGCGGTGTTTGAAACATCCGAGGCATCATTGGCCCCCCGGGCCCAAGAGGTGGGCGCTGTACCTGCCCTTCATGCACTCAGAGGACTTGCAGGACCCGCTTTCGGGGGTTTAGGGTTTAGGGTTTGAAGGGTTTAGGGTTGGGATTTGAGGGTTTAAAAGTTTATAGGGTTCGGGTTTTAGGGTGGGTTTGAGCGCCTTTAGGCCTTTAGGGCTTGGGGTTGGCGGGTTTAGTCCGAGCTTTGGGCTTGGAGCAGGGCCTGGAGAGTCTGGGGTGTGCGTGTTGGCCTGCATGCATACTGGCCGAGAAAGGGTTTGGGGTAGACCCGAAGCCTGGAAATACCCTGTGGCACCAAACCCCGAAGCCTTCAACCCTGAACCCTAAACCCTAAACCCTAAACCCTCCCAAAGGACAAGGTCAAGTGCGTGAACCTCATGCGGGAGGGCATGGGCAAGTCCCTCTTTGGAAAGGGTGGCTCGCCATCGGGCCGTGCAGGCAAGGCTTCTGGGGGTTCAGGGTGGGTTTAGGGTTTAGGGTTTATAGTGTTCAGGGTTTTAGGGTATAGGGTTTAGGGTTTAGGAGGTCCTTCCAGAACCCAGAGGATGTCCTTTCCTCCCTAGTAGTTTAAGGTTTGGGTACCAGAGGGGCGCCCATTTTCTTCCAAGGCTACCCCTTGGGTCTGGCCTGTGACATGGCTGGACTGAGGAGTCCACACACGTCTTCGTCCCTACCTGGAGGTTCATGAGAACCCTAGGATGCCCCCAGGAGTGCCCTTATTCCCTTTTTTTGGGGGGTCGGTTCCCTAAACCCCTTTAAGCAAAGAGGGTACCCTTTTTAATCCTGGGTTACTGAGCATCCGAGAACCCAAGTATAACTGCACTTGTAACCGAATTATAACCCCATTAGGGTACTTAAAGGTGCCTAGAAAAGTGGGTGATACCTACACATATGATTGGGTGTCAGGTACCCTGAACCTCCAGGTCGATTGTAAAGGTTCCATCAGCTCCTATTGTCTAAGGAGAGTTCTATGGGCCTTTCATACGGTTCTCCTTACCTCCTTGAAAGGGTTCTGAAGTATGGGCCCGTGGGTTGTGTAGGGAAAACAAGGGAGGCCCCATTTCCGGGCCCATATGAAGGGACCATGTAACAACCTTTAATTCGG